AACTTCTTGCAAACTTTTTGATATGCCTTGTTAGATTATCAGCTTAATTCTATAACAATACTCAGTAAACCAGCTTTGTTTTGAAATTGTTTCTGTGTGATACAAGACACAGATAGAATTGAGAATCTGTCACTCTTTCTCTGAAGAATCTTTTTTTCTAAGGGAGAAAAAAAAGGAAAGAAATCAGCAGACTGAATTTAGATGAGTTCTCCTTGTATGGGATTTTTCTCTGCATAAGTAAATTCTGTAAAAACCTCCCCAACAACTTGTATGATTTCCCCCGTAGGAAGAAGAGCTGAAGAAAGCCATTCTGGTGGTGTTTGCTAACAAGCAGGACATGGAGCAGGCCATGACTCCCACGGAAATGGCCAACGCGCTGGGCTTGCCGGCGCTGAAGGACCGCAAGTGGCAGATATTCAAAACCTCGGCGACGAAAGGCACCGGCCTCGACGAGGCCATGGAGTGGTAAGGAAGGGCCCCAGCTCCGTGGGCACCGAGGGAGGACAAAAGGCCGAGCAGGAGCGGAAGCTCCAGCGAGGCTGAGGTAGGCCAGGTTCATGCCCACTGCACCTGTCTTGGTCCATGATGCTCTGGGTAGTAACCCTAACAGACTAAAGCAGAATCAGAGAGAGACTATTTTGCCACAGATAAAATGCACTGAAGAAGTCTGAGCATATTTGAAGTGCTTTTTCAAGTAAATTGTCTTTCTCCTAGGTTGGTGGAAACCCTGAAGAGCAGGCAGTAACACAACGGTGATGAGGGCAGTGGAGCTTTGACTATACCCAGCACCCTTCTTTCTGCAGTCAAGTATTTTCAGGCCAGAAATACTTGTAAATAGAACAGATTGAAAATGACTCCTGTGAAGCATATGTCTGTCTTCAGTTGTAAAATGGAACCAAGTGAATGTCTGTGTACATTAAGATACTCCATTTCTTTCTTTGTGTTTTTAAGTATGTTCTTGTGTTAATTTGTATTAAAGTCCTATGGGGTGGGAAAGGGTTTTTTTTTTTT